CTCCCTTCTCTGTGCCTCTGCAATGCATCACCTCCTTTAAGTACTTTGGAAAATATTGATTTGTTTTATTTTTTTTCTCTCTTTTTAACCAACAACACGTCTCCGCTGCAGCGAGATGCCCAATTATGACGTCATCATCCCCGTTTTGCTAAAAGAAGGCATCGACCAGCTGCCCAACCACTGCAAGCTAACGCCAGGTAAGATGTCACGTCAGAGCATCCGCAACCATGACTGCTGTGGACTTATTGAGCTAATCATCGGAGCACGGGCTGTTATTTTACTCATTTCTCCTAAAAAAAGATACCAGTWGGCTAAGAATTAGCTTTCAATTACAGTGAGGTGAGGAGCTCTGGCGTCAAGGTAGGAAATTAATACCAGCCGCCATCTGCACAAAAACTACACTTGGAGAGTAAATTGGCTGTTTTTGGTCAATTAGACAAATCTATTAGCTCCTTTGGCAGTTCAGCAGTTGTTATTTAGGAGGTTGTTTTATTCTGAAGTGCTTCATATTTACAGGGTTCATGCAGGGTCTTAAAAAGTCTAACTTGCCTTAAGCTGTAGGAACTCTTGTTTTTTACTGAATGAGTCAGAGTTTGACCTGAGCTTCACTGTGGGAAAGGTTTGCAAAATGAAGATGAAGCACTTTGGGAACACGACAAATGAGCTCATATTAGTTTTGATAGAAAAATCGATTATGAATCAAATCATGGCCCCAAAAATCAAATGGAATCATGATGTGGTGAAAGATTCCCACCCCTAACATCTAAAGGTTACCCTCTGTACGTTTCATTACAATCTGCTCTTTGTGTCATGAGGTTTTATTCTAATGCTGCAGAAAACAAACATTAATCTGCAGCTGTAACTACATTTTTATACATTTCCTGTCTTTTTAATCCCTCAAACGTCCATCTCCTGAATGTTGATCATACAGAATTTTAAACATTTACTCAGATCTGCGTGAAAAACTTGTTTTTCCCCTTCTGTCCGTCCAGCTTTCCCTCCCGCTGTGCTCGACGCGGGGAAGGGTATGAGCGCCGAGAGCAGGCGGGCCTGGATCGAAGAGAAGAGTCTGATTCTGAAGCAAACTTACTGGTAACCTAAACTCACCTCCCTGCGTTCGCTCGCCACTCCCTTCTCTGTGCCTCTGCAATGCATCACCTCCTTTAAGTACTTTGGAAAATATTGATTTGTTTTATTTTTTTTTCTCTCTTTTTAACCAACAACACGTCTCCGCTGCAGCGAGATGCCCAATTAT